ATGGACATTTTAGTCACTTTTTAGCATGATTCCAAATCGTTTTCCAAGTATTTTGGAATACTTTCTGAGGCTCTTTGGATAATTCCTGCTACCTGTTCTCTGTTGAGAATTACCCTTTATCATTTTTTTTACTTTGTTACCTTGAACTTACTCTTTTTCTTAATCTGGTTGGATAATGGTTTATAGACTTTGCTAGTGTTTTTTTTTTTTTTTAACAGATCTTAATTTTATCAACTCTATAATCTTTTAATCTTCAAGTTTCTTTATTTCTCTAGTTTAAGATTTTTCTTTTCAGGGAGGACCCAAGATGACCGAGTAAAAGCAGTGACTTGCTTGAGCTTTCCCCCAAACCCATCCAAATACTTGTAAAAATGACTCTAAACAAATTCTAGAGCAGCAGAACCCACAAAAAGACAGAGTGAAACAAACTTCCAGTCCAAGACAACCTGGATTGTCCATGGGAAAGGTCTGTTGTGCCAAGCTGAGAGAGGAGCACAGTTCAGCACGGGCAGGGCAGGCAAAGACCAGGCCTCAATGATCCTGGAGCAGGCCTTAGGGGACTGAATCTGGGGCAGCTGTGATGGTCTCCAGACTTTTCAACCCACACAAGATCGAGCAGCTTGTACATTAAGGGACCAGAAGGCTTGAAATATGATTTTCCGAAGGGCAAAGGAGATAGGATTACAACCAAGAATTACTTACCCAGCAGAACACTATAATCCTTCAGGGGAAAAAAATAGATATTCAGTGAAATAGAGGACTTTCAAGCACTCTTTCATTATTTTTGCAGGTATCCTTGATATACATAGTGTTAGGGTCTGATCCCTGTTGTGGCTGCCCATACCGACTTTCAGAGCCTCTAGTCTGCAAACCATAGTCATAGCTCCTTGGACTGTGTTTCCAACTCATCTCCAGTCTTTCCAAAGGCTTGGTGAAAAAATGAAGTCAGACCTTCAGAGATGGCGCGTTTCTTTACTCTTTAGCCCTGAGCAGTAACTCCTCCCTTCTCTTACCTTTTAATTTATCCTCTCCCCATCACAGAAGCAAATCTCTACATTATCCAGTCAACACTGACTGATTCATTAATGGGGGAAGAGGAGAGAAGACAATGCCTCTCCCCAGTTATTCGTTACTTTCCAAGTATACTTAAATTCTTTACCATGTTGGTACTCTGCCTTCTTGCTGCCAATATGTGTTTGTAAAGAAAACAAAACAAAATACTCCCCACATCTTGAATTCATGTCCTTATCTAGCCTTGACCATATCTGAAAGTACTTCACTTTCTGCTTCCGGTTTGTAAACTGATCACTTTGCTCACATTCTGGCTGATTTTGAATGAATGATTCAAATTTTTTCTCTTTACTCAACATCCAGTTATTTTCTTTGAGATTTAAGTTTTTCAGTTTTTCAGGATGTTAATTTTTAGGTACCAGCTAACCTCCTTATCTTTGTAATACCATATTCCAATTTTTACATTTGACTTCTTGTAACTGCAGAATCGTACCATTCTGAGGCACCTTGAAATTGGAAAGTTTTTTTCTTTACTACTTCTAAGACTTGTTCTGAAATTTGATTTCTCAGTGATTTAAACCTAGAGTTTCTTCCTGTTGGTGGTTTATAGGTTCTTTCAATATAGACTTCAAGAAAAAAAAAAGTAAAAAAAAATCTAGACTTCAACATCCACTTTCAATATTTCTGGTGTGAAACTGAAAATTAACTCCATTTTGTTCAGTTCTTTTTACACTGTGGTTATCTTCCATTTTGTGAGCTAGGCCTCGCTTTGCTATATATCAAATGATCATGGGGAAAAATTAAGATGTTGAGACAATTCTGAGAAATCAGGGTGATAGGGGGCTGTTCACAAAATTTTCCATGCATCTTGACAAACATCCTGGAAATTCTGTGGTTATTACGAGAATGTTCTGGATAATTTGTAATGACTGCAAAATATACCAGGATATTCTGGAAATAACCACAAAATTTGCAAAACTGGCCAAACAGAAGAGAGAATGCCTAAGATTGTGTAAATCGATTGGTTCCTCATTACTGCCCGTAAGAATGGTGTTAATTCCCAAATAGTATCCATGTACTTACTGAGGTTTTTAGATCCAATTTGTTATGCAACTGCTAGTCTTGCTAATAAATCGATGTTTGGATTTTATTGCCTCAGTCCTAACCAATTTCATTTACAACAATGGTCATTTTTTTTTTCTTTTTTGGTGAGGGGTGGGGGAAAGTAAGGTATTCCAGTTTTCCATACCTATAATCATTACGTTTTCTTTTCAAATCTAAATCTCAATTACAGTATGCTTATTTTGTAGTGGTATAGGAATACCCAGAACAATGTCTTAATGAGTTGGTCTACATTTATTTTAATTAGCTTGTGCTATGTTATTTTACTTTTCTTCCGGCCATAGGTTAACTTTTCTAAATTTCAGGGATTTTAGTTTGTATTATTTGACACGTCAAAGGAAGTCACTCATAAGAAACCTGTGACTCCACCATCTTCCCCAAGGTGGTACAGATTTAAGAAAGTGTTAAGGTGTGACCACCCCTGTGGATACTTGGGGTAGTAGAGAGAGAGGTTATTAGAGATGAAGATTGATGTATGGGGACCTAGGCTAGAGTACGAGGGAATATCAGTGTGAATGCCATAGCTGCCTGTTGGAAATCAGCATGCAAACAAGGATCTGGACAGAGAGACAATGATAGTACAGAGTGAATCTCAAAGGAGACTGATGGCAACAGAGGGAGATTTTCTAGGCTGCAGGAAGAAACAAAGAGTATGCCTATTCCACCTAGGCCACCATATTAGGGAGGTTTAAATTTTTTTTTTCCTAATTTTTTTTCAGTGAACAAATTTTTATTCTCTCTACCCTTGAGGGCAGGGATTATCTTTCACCTCTTTTTATAGCACAGTGCCTGAAACATAGGCGGGGTCTTAATAAGTGTTTATTGAATGTCCCTCAAATATAAGTGAATCCCTCCCCTAACATAATGAATACGCAGTCAAGTAAAACAAATTCTCACATTGGCCAGCTTCAAAAAAAGTCTCATTTTCCATCTTGAGTACATGACTTGTCAGGTGGGCAACCTGCTTCTCAATGGTCATCTAGAACTGTGGTTTAATCATGGCATCAATCAGAGTTCTTATCTTTCCAATGCTGTTATTGTATAAATTGTGATTCTGTTCACTTGACTCTGCATCAGTTCGTTAACTATCTCCCCTGGTTTCTCTGCAACTATCCCTTTCATTATTTCTTGCAGTGCAATAGTATTCTATTTATATGCCATAATATATTCAGCCATTCTCCAATTGATAGACACCCCCTCAGTTTCCAGTTCTTTGCCACTACAAAAAGCTGCTGTTTTTGTACCTATACATCCTCCTCCTTTCTTTGATTTCTTTAGATAGTATCACTGGGTCAAAGGGTATGCATTTTAATTACTTTTTGGGTAGAGTTCCAAAATGCTTTACAGACTAGTGGGACCAATTCACAGCTCCACCAAAAGTACATTAATATAATTATCTTTCTAGTGTACTCCCATTTGTCATTTCCCTTTTCTGTAATCTTTACCGTTCTGATGCGAGATGGAACTTCAGAGATGCTTTAATTTGCATTTTCATACTAGTGACTCAGAGCATTTTTTCAAATGGTGAAGCAGCTAGGCAGCCAGCTGATGGAGTAAGGAAGATTCATCTTTGCGAGTTCAAATCTGGCCTTAGATACTTACTAGCTATGTGATCCTGGGCCAGTCACTTAACTTTATTTGCCTCAGTTTCCTCACCTGTAAAATGAGTTGGAGAAGGAAATAGCAAACCACCGTAGTCTCTTTGCCAAGAAAATCCCAAATGAGGTCACTAAGAGTAGGACTAGAGTAACACGACTGAACAAATGATTGATTGGACTTCTTCCTTTGAAAGCTGCCTATTCCTATATTAGGAAGGTTTAAAAGAAGTCATCTGTTTCGGAGAGAGTAGAAACAGATAAGGTATCCTCCAAAGAAAACAAGGTTTCTGAAAGCACCAAAAGATGGCAAGCACACACAAAAGTATCTAAATAAAAGGAGCTAGTTAACAGTGTGTCATGGAAGCAGAAAGCAGAATACAGGGATATGGTAGTTTAGTTGAGAACCATTTCAACAGCTAACAGTGTTGATTTATTTTGCTTAATTTTGTTGTTTACAGTTTGGGAGTAGCTGAAGAGGGGGCATATCATGACATTAAAAAAAAAAGTTTTGAGTAGTATCTCTAAGGTCCTATCTAGTCATAAGACTCCACTATACCCCCCTCCCCACCTCTAGATTGATGGTACTCACTAGACATTTTCCCATTTTGTTTTATTTGACACAATAATGGAATGTACTTCTATCAGTCTCCATAGCAATAATCAGTCAACTGAGGTCTCAGGATGTTTGCAAATTCTTTACATTTTTGTAACGTTTAGAAATTCTTCATTATTGAATGCCCTTGCAGGCTAGAGAATTTTCTCATGTAGCAATGCAGAGGACCAAAGAAGAAGGTGTGAAAGTACCCCAGTGAATGTATATTGTTGGTATCTAGCTCACTATTGTACTGTCTAAATTCTGACAATATCTCAAAATGTTTTTGCTCCTAACTCTGGTTGCTAATAAACAACTAGAGGAGATTTAAGTAAGTCACCCACTTTCAACAAATAGGAAGATGATCAAAAGTCTGGCTCTGCCCACTTTAGTATCTTGCCTTTAGGCAAATTATAGCCTTGCCTGGCCTGTTTCCCTCTCCTCCCATTATTTTTAAAAAAGGGGGATGGTACGGATTTGAATATATGACCTTTAAGGTCACTTCTAAACTCATAGTGTCATCAAATGAGAAAATTTATACAAAAGTGCTTTACAAATAGTAATGTGCTATATAAATATAAACTGCAGACACTGGTTGAAGAGTCAATCACAACTGAATGACTAAACAATACTTTGAACCTGACATTGTGTATAAGAAATTGAAATCAATCTAGACATTTAAGTATAAAGTTGATCTTTAATGACTTATCCATTCCAAACAGACTGTTCATTTGGCAGTAGGAGTAGGGAACTTATGAGATGAATTTGGTTATTTCTGAAATTTCACATAACATTACCAAAAAGCATGGAATAACACAGATACTCCTTGACTTAAACACATACACTGCTCTCTACTCCTGAGACCCCTTTCTGGCACAACGAAAAATCTCCACACTTTCTAGAAAAACACCAGATTAAGAAACTGAAGGGAAGATCCTTGGGAAAGCAGTATTAAATAAATTATTTTGGGAGCAGAATCCAAAGCAAGGTGGCCTACTTAAATGGCGATACCAATGTTCCTAGTCAAATAAGTTTCAGTGACTCTTCCAAATAAATTAGACACATTTCGAATACAAGATTCCATATAACAATAAAAACATTTTGGGGAAGGTTGACTCAATTAGCCACCTGTACACTGTATTCACAATATTTAGAATTTTCCTTATGACATATAGTTAATAGGACACCTTCATTGGTCTAACAAGGTGTTTCAACTGGAGATAAAGGAATTGTATTTACTTTGGAGAAGAGAGCTAGGTTTTGTTGGCATCCTACTGTACAGACAGAGTAATGGAAGAGGGTTACTAGAAATTAAGAGAAGAAGGTAGAAATAAGGGGAAAGTATCAAACAAACAGTATTTCAAGATTTTACCTGGGTCAGTCTTCTGCTAAGAAAAGGAGATCAAAACTTTCTTGCTATACCCCACCTCTCTCCTGCATCCTATGTCCCACTATACCAGGAGTTAAAAAATAAATACACTTTTTGTGGGATAGCCGGAGAACCTAATCACAATTCATAATATTGTTTTCATAGGCAAATGTTTCAAGTTTTAAATAATCAATTTCCAAAATTAATTCCAATGCTATATAATCAAAACGTAAACTACTTCCTAAACATGTTCGAAATATGCAAAAGGAGTAGTAGTCCTGTACTGTAGACTGATTTGATCATTACTTAATGCTGGTGACTAAACCACATTAACTACCTTAAGGCAAATAAAATAAATTTGTATCAGGGTTAATAGGCTTTAATTTGGCTTGCCTTAAAAAAATTTAATAGTTTGACCTAGTTTTCCAATCAACATAAATTCCATCAAGTACAAACACCAACTGGACAAAAATTTCAATTATGAAATTTGTCAAGTTCCCCCAACAACAAAAAAAAAATCAACTTTAGGACATTCAACTGTCATTTTAAACTTCTGTTGTGTTAACAATAATAACTAGTATCAGAGAAACTAAGTGAAGCCACTTAAAATATGGTCTTAACAGGTAGAAAATAAGTATCATACTTTTCCCAACTTTTTAATCTTTCACGTAAAAATCCACAACATTCAATTAGCTCAGTAACAAGTAGGAAATGGACTACCTGGTTTTTCTTGGTCAAAGCTGTCCTAACACTCAAGTCCCTGATTTTAACACAACAGATTCTAGGACATTGTTGCCTAATCAGTAAAAAAAAATAAAAATGCAAAAAACAAAAACAAAAAACAAACAAAAAACCAAATGCACTGACTCCAAAAAAACCCCAACCCACCTTTTCAGAATAGCAATTTAAACAGAAATGGGAGCTTCCAAAACCAAACTACCTGGTTTAAAAAAAAATGTAAAAAAAGTCACTTAATTTCAAAACTATCAGAAACCCAGGTGTTGAAATGACTCACAGGGAAAAACAATGACCAATGCAAAGCAAAGGATATCTTGTTGACCTGTCAATTGCCAGTATGTCCGGATTCCATTTGCTCAGCCTCACATTTCCCTCCCTGTCAAACTTTATCTTGCCTCACTTTCACTTCTGGACTTTTTTGCTTCAAAGTTGCAGCTACTTCCTTGTCAGAATCCCATTTTCAGTTTTCCAAAAATTAGTTTTTCTTTCCCTGGATAACATTGATTCTGATCAATTCTACAAAAAACAAAATTTACTATAGTATTTAAAACCTAATTAGGAGGATGAGTTGTAATTTATATTATTTAGTGATAAGAAACCATGACTTATTAAGTGCTTTTTTAAACATATTTAGGGAGGTAGCAAGGAGATAGGGAAGATCAATACCTTCATCCTCCTTTCAATATCAAAGTCTATCTTCATTCTTTAAATGCCTGAGAACAGAAAAGTTTTTGCTTTATTTTTGTTGAGATAGAATTGAATAAACAGGGGAGTATCAACCACAATGGGTAGGGTTTTTTTTTTTTTAAAGTTTCAGCATTTATGATGTTTGAAGATTTCATGAAGATGGTCTAAAACATCTTCCAGACAGTCGCAACCCCCATCTCAAAGTACTTTGGTTACTGCCAACACAGAAAATCAATTTCTTTGTTGATTGCTGGAAGTTTGTCTGAACAGAAGTTTTACAGCAGCACCTTCTCTTAACTTTTCTTGTAATCAGATTTCTGAGAGAGAAACTACATAACAGGTACATCAGCAAAACAAAACTGCACTAAAAAGCATTTACCCATAGGAGTACTGTTGAACATGCAAACATTACAATTGTTTCTTACTCCTTTACTCCTCACTCTTCCCCATTCATTATTTTGCAGCTTGCTGAAACATCTGAAAAATACTTTTCTGAGTATTACTAGGCCGTAGAGAACGTGCGTTTTTGGAAGAGATGGGTGTCTTTCCTCCCTTATTAGCTGACGTTTTCTTTTGGATCATAGGAGAAGGCTGCCAGTTTTCATCTTTTGAGCTTCTTCGAGATTTTGAAAGCTCTGTTTCAGGTTGTTTTTTGCAGTTCTTTTCCTTGGAATAACTTTTCCATTCATTTGGAGATTCGTCTGCATGCAAGGAGACTTTAGTGCGCAAGAGATAAGCATCTGGGGACCCCTTCTGCCGATTCAGTTTCATCTGCTCTTTATCCACCTCTCTCTGAAGCTCTAAGGCCAACAGCCTGTCTTGCTCTTCTTGCTTGTGCCTCTCAAAGAGCAGGTGTTCCAAGTCTATCAGTTTCTGTGCAATGTTACTGTCTGTCTCTTCTTGTTCTGAAGAAGTATCCATACAGAGTTTCCTTCTCTTTGCAGAACTACTTGAATCACTAACTATTCCAGAAGGAAATTCCTGATCTTTTCTTTTGGGTATTTCTTTATCAATCAGCATACTCTTTTCTTTATTTTCTGTACCAATAATGCTGTTTTTGGTTATTTCTACTGGATTAGTGTATTCATTCTCTGGCTTGCCAGGAGACGTGGCTACAGCCTCAGCAGAACAGAGAAATCTGGTTTGTACTTCATGATTTGTACAAAAATGTCCCTCTGTAGCTTTATTTGGATTACTCATCTGTGATTTAGTTTCTTTCTCAAGACATTCTTCTTCCACACTAAAGGCACTTAAATGAGGCATAGGTGCATCTGTAATTGAACCCTTTGCAACTCTGCTCTGACTCTCAAGGAATACTTGTGGAGATAATGTTGGCATATCCTCATCATCTTCTTCTTGCCATACAGGGCTCCCTACATTACTGCTAACACCCTGCAGGTAAAAAAAAAAAAGATAAAGTAACATTCAGCAACAGCAGCAAAAAGTCGGCTATTGCCAAATGCTAAGTGGAAAGTTATACTTGTCCCTGAGAAAGAAAAGTGATTTTTAGTATTTCCATCTGAGTGGGACATCACTACTTCACTTGTGTTGCTACTAAAACTAACGTTGAAGATTCAGTTTTCAATCACCAAATTATTACTTACATTCAACATACTTCATAGTGTCAGGACTTTACCTTGTGTTTTTTTTTTTTTGTCCATATACTTGTCTATCTCTCCCTGTCCATTTCTGGAGCCTACAGGTTGAAGCAAACAGAGCTAAAACACTGAGAGACCACAACTTACTTTAGTAAGAAACTTTTGGCTTCTAGCAGAACTTACTTCACAATCAATACCTAGGTGCTGCCACCCTGATTTTATTCTTTCTGCCTTTTTTGAGACCCTGTGGGTTTCCTGGTTTGGTCTAACCTATTGCATTTATATATTCCCTGACTCCAGGGTGCTCACCTAGACCCTAAGAAGACACCTTCTAATTTTATGCCTCCCAGGTCTATTGCAGATGTCCTCAATGATTGACAAACTGGGGAAAAAATGTTAACAGTTTTAAGAAAAACATTTATATATTTTTATTCATATACTGCTCAAAATCTTCTAAAGAAGCTAGACAATTAATAAACTGTTATAAGAATTTCTTTGTCCCCAAAATACCTTAGATATAGAACGCGTGTTATCTTCTGCTGCAAATTCAGGTTGAGATGTTTGTACTGAGGCAAACTGGGACTTTGGTGACAAATACCTTTAAAAAGAAAATATATATTAAAGTTAAACTGTTTTGAGAAAAAGACCCCACCCACTTCCTCCAAAGAGATCTAGAAAACATACTAGGCCAAGTCTTGATAGGAAAATCCAAGAAAATTCACAGTGAGTAATATTTTTGTCCAAGGAAACAGACAAAGAGGGCTGGCAGACAATAAGGACATGATTTAGGAGTTATTATTCTGAAGGTACAGAGTTTGGAATATTATATTCCAGAATGCAAAGAATATAGTTTTACAACCAAGATTAACTTAACCAGCAAAACTGAGTATAATCAAACAAGGGGATAAAGAATGAACCTTAAATGAAACGAAGGACTTCCAAGCACTCCTGATGAAAAGAATAATTCGAGTTGCATAGAAATTTCAAAGTTCAAATACAAGAGTAAAGAGAAACATAGAAGTTAAATACAAATGAATAGTCTTACGGGACCAAACATGGATAAAATGCTTACACTCCATTATGGGAACATGACACATGTCCCTTGGAGCCCTATCATCAGGGGTCTTTTATAAAGGGAGTCTAGACAGAAGGCCTGGGAATGATTCTATTTGGTTTAGATAATATTAGAAGAAGAATGGAGAGAAAGAAGAGGAATAGAGTGTGGGGTGTGATGAGGGGGAAAGCAAAGTTAGGTCTATACAAACAAGAGGTAGGGAATGAGCAGCTGAAATGTGAACCACATTCTTATCTGAATCAGTTAAAGATAAGAACATTAAACCACAGAGTTAGAGAAATGTATTTCACTCAAAAGAGAAAAGAAGGGGAATTAGAGGGAGGACAGATTAAAGAAGCAATTAGGCCTAACCAAAATAAACTCTTAACTAAGAGTATACAAAAATATTAGTTCTTTTTAAGATAATGAAGAATGGGAATCTGAGGGGTGCCCATCAAATAGGGAATGGCCAAACAGGTGGTGGTACATGAATATGATGGACCATTATTGTGCTGTAAGAAATGATGAAAAGGATGGATTCAAAGAGACTGGAAAGATTTATATGAACTGATGGAGAGTGAAGTGTATAAAACCAGGAGAACAATTTATACACTTCCAACAATAAAAACAAACTTGGAAGATGTAGAGACCCTGATCAGTGTAATTACCAACGATGATTTCAGAGGACTAATGGTAAAGCATCCTACCCACCTTCTGACAGAGGTGTAGATAAATATATGTATGTGTATGTATAGATCTGTATCTACCTTATACCTATATCTAACTAGATATCCATAGCTCTATATTTTTAAAAAATATCTTTATTTTCCTTTCAATATGGTCAATTTAGAAATTTGTTTTGCTTGACTATACATATTTGTAATAGAGGTTTGTTTTTCTTTCAATTCTCAATAGGTGTGGGGTGGGGGTGGAGAAGAGGAATTTTTGCGAATTATACTAAGCAAAAAAAAAAAAGATAACCAGTTCACCATTAGAAGCCTCAAACTAGATAGTATTAACTTCCACAATCTTGTCATCATGACTGATACCTTTACTGGTTACTTCCTTTTTACTTTAGCCATGGGATCTAAGGCCTGGATTCTATTTCCACTTTGACTTGCCCAGTGTCACATAGTTAGTAAGCATCTGAGGTTGGGTTTGAAAACAGGAAGGTGAATCTTCCTGATTCCAGGCTTGGCACTCTAGCCTCTGTACCACTAGCTGTTCATGTGCATGTGGGCTGCATACTGACAAATTAGCATTATATATCTTGTATTATAGGAGTTTTGCAGGCCACAAGTCTGATATTTAATTCAGAACACTAACCTTAACATAGGCTCCTGGCTAATAAAATCATCAGTCAAAAAGTGCCAATAGAAGATATAGGATATCATAAAACAATAACAATAAACACATATATATATGAACACCATTTATAAAAATAAGGTGAAAAAATATATATATGAAAGAAGTTAAATATTTTAAACACTGGAATCTGTTCTTTTCATTATAAATCAATCCCGAACACCCGGAGAATTATAATAGAGTCCTTGCATCAAATTTTGTCTAGCACTGATACTGACCAGGAGTTCTTAGTCTTTTTTCTATCATGGACTCTTCTGAAATCTGCTGACGCCTATGGACCTCATAGGTTGGTCCCTATGGACTCAGAATGTTTTTAAACATATTAAGTAAAATACATGGGATTACAAAGAAAAACAATTATACTGAAACACAGTAAACAAAAGATTTTAAAAAGGCCATAGACCCCAGCTGAGGAAATTTTGGTAGAAGTTAAAAAAAAAAAACACATTATACAACAATAGGAATATAGCAGTTCCTTAAATACTTATTAATGTAACAGCCATAGTGACTTACTTTTGAATACTTCCAATGACACTTAACTTGTTCTTAATCTTCTTTTGTGACTTGCTGGTAGGTGGCGAAGACTGCTTAGCATTGGAAGGAGAGCCAAAGACACTTCTCTCATTTAGTTTGTTCTTGAACAAAAGAAAACATTCAGAAAACATCAGAGACTTTTATATATAAAACTCTATTTTTACAATTAAGAATTTATGAGAAAATTATAATAGGAGCTGGGCTTCAGTTTACTCTCCATAGTAGATGGAGACCAGTCTTTGGACTAAGAAAGAGTTGAGGTCAAGTCCTGCCTCTCAGTGGCCCAGGCACCTCAGTATGACTTAAGTTCCAAAGAAGGTATCAATCTGCATTGCCAGTCAGTTCCCAGAAGGCCCAGACATTAAATCACAGGTCTAATAAAAAACAATATAAATACTATTTCAGAGAGACTACTTAAATTATGAAGATACACTTTTAAACACCAGAAGTACCCATTTACTTTAAAATGACATACAAGTGACAATTTATAAATCATTAATTAAAATATCTTCCCTGTCTCAGGACTCTTCAGTGGGGCAACTGACCTTCAGGAAATGCTCAGATAGGTATTCAATAGCATGGGTTTAATTATTGTAGGAACTTGAAATTACGTTTTTCCAAGTGCAATCCAAGAGATAACAGATCCAAAAGACGATTTACACATACAATCATGTAAATAAAACACATTACCCTGTATAGAGAACAATGCTTCTTTCTTTTACCAAAAAGTAAGTGGATGACTGCATAAAGTCAGTCACAAGACCTATTTTGTGGAACTTTAATAGGTTTTTTTGAAAGTATACTCTGAGCTCAAATTCTTAAAATCTAGCCACAGCTCAGATTTCCTTAAGAGTCTGCCCAATATGATGGATGTTCTAATAAACTTTGTCTTTGGCTGAAAGAAGGCTTGGGTCAAATTCTTTTAGGAAGGACCCGCATGTTGTGATTTTGGGGTCCCAGCACTCCTAAACCTCAACATTTTGGTGGCCTGTATGGGGAAAACTGCCTAACCCCAAGTTCTTCTCTAGCCAAGACTGGAAGGTATGTAAGCCTCCCCCGACTTCTTTCTTGCCCTGCAGTGGGGGTCGCTCTCCAAACACATAGGAAGGCTTAGAGGTGCTTTTCGAGCAGACAGTCACAAGGCTGTCTCACACTAGGCCTGATGTTCTCCAGTTCTCAGGTTCTTGGTCCACTGGTTTGGTTCAAGTCCATGGACCTGGGTACACCTTCCGCAGCACAGAGGACAAGGACGGACACCCTATCTGGAAGCATATGCCCAATTCTGTCAATTCTCTTGGTGTTAGAGAATTGTCAAAACTGTAGGTGCTTTTTGGTTCCCTGAGGCTTACTTACTCCCTTCCCTCTAAATCCCTGGATCCTCCTTCATGGAGGTTACAGGGAAAAGTTAGAAAATCAAAAAACATTTTAGCAGATTCTGGAGGTTTTGTGATCAAATATGAAGGAATTTTGAAATGCCTTCTTTCTTTTTTTTTAGGCAATTGGGGTTAAGTGACTTGCCCAGGGTCACACAGCTAGTAAGGGTCAAGTGTTTGGTCTGAGGCCGTATTTGAACTCAGGTCCTCCTGACTTCAGGGCTGGTGCTCTATCCACTGTGCCACCTAGCTGCCCCCTTGAAATGCCTTCTTACAGCACTAGTTAGTCCCTTCTCCCATTCCCTTCCCTTGAGTCTGGAAGGTATCTGTTAATCCCTCCCATAGGAGAATAGAGTTTCACCACCACCCTCCCCCACCTCTGAATCCACCCCCTACAGCGTGGCCCCACTGGTAATGGCCAAACTTGGACTACCTGCCATTCACCTACAGTTGGTAGCAAACAACAGGTACCAGCCAATGTCCCCCCATCATTCCCTGGAAGAAGCCCAGTCAACCTCCTCTTTGGGATCCCCTCCAGGCAGGGACAGCTCTATGTCCCTTGTCAGCAGGAAGCAGTTTCAGAAGCTAAGACCTTATCTTACCCCAAAAGAATCTGGGTCTCATTTGTTTGAATGGGGAATGACGGGATTGGGATCTGGACCCCGGAAAGGAAAAACCCTAGACTTTCCCACATGGCCAAACCTCTGGCTTTTGCCTGAGGCTACAACCCCATCAACTGGCCTTTCATTGTGGCTAAGCCCAATCTCCCAATTCTGCTAGCCTTGCCCTCCACGGTCTTATCTCTCTATGCCCCCCTCCCCCCTCCCCTACTTCCCACCCTTAATGGAGGCTCCATTCACCCCTGATCAGGTGGTCGAGGTCCCTGGTGTTCTATTACCTCAGTCAACCACAAACTACTTGGCCACTCCCAGAGCCCTCCCATAGTCTTTCTATATATAAGGTCCATCTTGTCCCTATTAAGGTGCTCAGATTCTTAAAATCTAGCCAAATGGGCAGATCCCTTAAGAGTCTGCCCAATATGATGAATGTTCTAATAAACTTTGTCTTTGGCTGGGGGAAAAAAAAGTATACTTTGAGGTTGGGTCTTTATTAGCCATGTTAAGACAAAATTTATAAAAAAAAAAAAAAGTAATCTGTAAATTCCAACTTTTTTTTTTTTTTTTTTTTAAATGTGAGGCAATCAGGATTAAGTGACTTGCCCAGAGTCACACAGCTACTGGGTGTTATACATCCGAGGCCGGATTTGAACTCAGGTCCTCCTGACTTCAGGGCCAGTGCTCTATCTACTGCACCACCTAGGTGCCCCTAAATTCCAACTTTTCATGCATTCAATGCAAAATTGATCTTTAAAGGTCAACTTAACTAAGTGCATTTCAATCCCCTACAAGTTCTTCAGAACAAAGTGAGAAAAACCCATCCACTAGCAACTCCGTTTCTGTAATGGAGAACTGTCTTCCCAAATAAAATATCAATATGGCAAGTACTTTAACCTAAGTGAAAAGACAATAAAGGTCAGAGTAATGGTATCTGAAGAGACAGGAAAATATGATAAAACATGTCCCAAACGGACTTTTCTTCACTTCTTCTAGACTGTGCTTGGCAACTACACTAAAAATATACTAAAACATGATTTCAGCTTACCAATCAAAGTTCTAAGGACACAGTGTAGTGAAAACAGTAGTGATTTAGAATTCAGAAGATCTGGAATCTCTAATCCTAATTCCAACTATAATACATTGTGTAACCTTGGGCAAAGTACTTAACCTCAATATTCTCAGCTGTAAAAATTGAAGGGGTTTGACTGGATATACATCTCACCTTCTTCGATGCTTCACTGAAGTCTAGCTATCTTCAAAGTGTCTAGTTCATTTTACAAATTTTAATTTACATTACATGGAATAAAAGATAAACCTATTTTAACCATGAGGCAAATAAAATCTGAATTCTGGAGTTGTTACAAATTTAAACTGCTTCCCTTCATCAAGCAGTATCAGGATAGAGCAGGTGTGACTTAGTGGCCTTACAAGATTGATGCTGATTTCTCTGGCCAGGTCTTCATCTCTCCTCAGCTGTTCCTCCATTTCTCGCTGCCTCTCTTCTGCTCGCCTTTGTTCTTCTTCCTCCTCTGCCAATAATTTCTGAATGTATTCTTCACTTGCTTTGCTTTCTTCTTCCTCATAGGCCCTTCTTTCTGCCTCCACCTAAAAATTATTAAAAAAAAAAAAATCAAGTTTGGAAACCAACACATTAAGACCCAACTTTAATGTATTACCCTGTGGTATTCTCCATAAGTAAATAAAGATCCAAAAGCACATTTTCTGGATATACATACAGAATTGAAAACGAATAAATACTGTGGGAGAATCAGTAGTAAAGAAATGAGAAAGGAGGAGAAAAAGAATTAAGTAGAAAAAAATTTAAATTATCTATTACTTCATATTTACCCTCACCATTTACACAGATAAACACTCAAGACTAGGGGTTTTAAATACATAGCTGGGTGCTCATATATTGGTTGAATTTTTTAAAATTTAGGGGCAGCTAGGTGGGGCAGTGGTTAGAGCACTGGCCTTGGAGTCAGGAGGACCTGAGTTCAAATCCAGTCTCAGACACATAATACTCACTAGCTGTGTGACTCTGGGCAAGTCACTTAACCCCAACTGCCTTGTCAAAAATAAATAAATAAAAATAAAAATTTACAAAATTGCACTTTTCACAGGTAACCAGCAGCTTTCATGGTTTCAACAGTCAACTCATCTTTTAGGACATCTTATAACTGTTGATATTTCGCTCTATACAAACCCTTTACCTGACTGAATTTTCAAATGTTACGTGCTGGTAAAAGAAAGTAAAATCTTAAAACATCCTAAAATGGGTTTATTGCTTTAAAAGCAGTGGTGTTTACTCGAAATAGATTCCTGCAGGCTTAGGACTTAAGAAACCATAAATTAATATCTATGCTGTATTGTATTTTTATTTGTTTTGTTAAACATTTCTCAATTACATTTTAACCTGGTTTTGTCTCACTGAGTTTTTCAGGCTGCTGACAACTCTGCTTTAAAGCCTAAGCCTTCGAAGAAATACTTTTATAAATCAATTTCTCATATGTGAGGTTATATTACAACTGAAATACAAATCTGGCATGCCAAACCAAAACAATTAAAATATTTCCATCTTGGTTCAATTCCACTAATAAGATATAATGACATTTTGTCACACATCTGAAGTATGATCTGGAGACACAGATTGCTTCTGCTATTCAAGAACCATCTAGCTAAAAACTATGGAGAAGCTCATTATCTAAAGGTAGAGACATACCTGCTTCTCCTGCTAGCTGTATGACCTCTCAGTTTCCTTTGCTAGCAACACACACTGAGTGTTCTGTTCCCTAAGGCTCTGTTCTCTCCCTTCTCTTCCACTTGGCAATCTCATCAGCTTCCCTACACGGAGGATTCCCAGACCTACAGATCCCAGTCCTAACCTCTTGTAAGCTTTAGTCTCATTACTAACTGCCTTTTGGACACAAACTGGATATCCAGCAGACATCACAAACTCTACTTATTCAAAAGAGAATTCACTATCTTTCCCCTAAAACCCACTCTTCTTCCAAACTTCTCTACTGCTGTTGAGGGCACCATCATTTTCCCAGTAACGGAGGCTCAGAACTTTGATGTCATCCCCGGCTCCTCACTCACCCCTCACATCAAATCTGTTGCCAAGTCCTGCTTTTACCATTACAACTTCTGTACTATACATCCCCTTCTCTGCTCATAGTCACCACCTCCAACCTGGACCATTCCAATAATCTCCTGGTTGATACCCTCGCCTCAACCTAAGTGGTCCAACAGAGAGTGAGAGCTGGGCGTGAGTTAAGAAAATATGAGTTCAAATCTGGTCTCAGACCAAACACTTGACACTTACTAGCTGCGTGACCCTGGGCAACTCACTTAGCCCCAACTGCCTAAAAACAAAATCAAAAACAAAAACAAAAACAAACAACAACAACAACAACAAAAAAGAGAGTAAAGGGTTGAACACAAATCCAAGGAAGCAAATCTGGGTGACTGGTAGAATGGCGAAGTCCTTGACAACAGCAAAGTTTGGAAAAGGGGTAATTTTGGGGGGGGAAGTGATTTTGAGGTGTCAGTGGATCATTTAGTTGAGCATGTGCAACAGGCATTTGATGAGGAAGATCAAGAGATCAGGACTAAGTAGGGCTGATTATAAAGATCTGGGCAACATCTGCACAGAGATGAAAATTAAACTCGTGGGAACTGTTGAGGCCATAAAAACTTTAAGTGTAATATATAAATATATATTAAGTATAACTTTATTTATTCAATGCCATCCCAATTAAATTACCCCCCAAATTTTTTTTTACTGAATTAGAAAAAATAATGAAATTCATTTGAAAGAATAAAAAGTCAATGCCATCCCAATTGGAAGAACAGAAAGTCAAGAATATCAAAGGAAATAATGAAAAAAATGTAGAGGAAGGAGGTTTAGCAGTACCATATCTTAAACTATATTATAAGGCAATAATTATCAACAATATCTGGTACTGCCTAAGAAAAAGAAAAGTAGATCAACAGAACAAAGTAGATATATAATTTACAGCAGCAGATAAATATAATAACCTTATACATAACAACTGTAGACTTTTGGGATAAGAATTCATCATTTGGTAAAAAAAAAAAAAAATGTTAGGAAAAGCAGAAAGCAGTATGACAGAAACTGGGCATAGACTAATATCTTCTACCATTTGCCAAGATGAGATCAAAATGGATAAATGACCTAGATATAAAGAGAGATATTGCAAGAAAATCTGAAGAACACGAGCCATATTACTTATCAGACTTGTGGAAAGGTGAACAATGAGCAAAGTTAGGCATAAAATGGATAACTTCTATTACATTAAATTAAAAGGCTTTGTACAAATAAATGTAGCCAAGATCACAAGGAAAGCAGAAAAAAACAGGGAAAAATTTTATAGATAGCTTCTCAGAGAAAGCTGTCATATCTCAAATATACAAAGAACTTTGTATAATCTTTAAGAATATGTCATTTCTGGGGCAGCTAGATGGCGCAGTGGATAGAGCACCAGCCCTGGATTCAGAAGACCTGAGTTCAAATGTGGCCTCAGACACTTGACACTTACTAGCTGTGTGACCCTGGGCAAGTCACTTCACCCCATTGCCTCTCAAAAAAGAATATGTCATTTCCCAATTGATAAATGGTCAAAGGATATGAACAGGCAGTTTTCCAATGAAGAAATCCAATTTATAGTCATGTGAAAAAAATACTCTAAATCATTACTGATTAGAGAAATACAAATGAAAACCATGAGATATAACTTTTATATCTATGAGATTGGCTAAAATGATTGAAAGGGAAAGTGACAAACGTGGGAGGTGATGTGGAAAAATTGGGACACTAATTCATTGTTGGTGGAATTGTGAACTGATCCAACCATTCTGGAGAGCAATCTGGAATTATGCCCAAAGAGTTATTAAAGTGCCTATACTCTGACCCAGAAACACCACTACTAGGTTTATTTTCAAAGATGATTAGGTAAAAAGGAAAAAACCTATACGTTCTAAAATATTTACAGCTGCTCTCTTTGTGGTGGCAAAGAACTGGAAACTGTAGGGATGCTCATCAATTGGGGAATGGCTGAACAAGTTGTGGTATGTGATTATGATGGAGTACTATTGTGCTCTAAGAAATGATGAGCTCAATGATCTCAGAAAAACATGGAAAGACTTGAATGAAATAATGAAGACTGAAATGAGCAGAAGAGAACACTGTACACAGCAATAGCAATAGTGTTTTAAGAATGACTTTGAGTGAACAAGTCATTTGGACTATTATAAATACCTAAATTAACTATAAAGGATATATGAATAATTTTGCATATATATTTCCTATTTGTGTCTAATGGTAGCCATCTCTGGAGCAGTGGGGGGGGAGAAGAAATTTACAGGATAACTTTGTTGCATATTTAAAAGGAACAGCTAGTTGTATATAATTGATTTGCAGTTTCGTGTACAATCATCTTTTTCTTGTACTGTTATGGAAATGTTTCATTCCATAAATTAAAAAAACTTTAAGTACTATGATGTTTCCCATAATGTCCTGTTTCTATAGTTCCACATCCCCTAGTGTGTGTAAAAGGATAGGGTTTTACTCCTTAGAATACTGAAACTGCAAGGATTATTCCTTAATCCCACTGAGAAATACTAAGAAATTAATAATGACATGTTAAATTTACATCATTTTTGTACTGAGGATGGCAGTGATGTCCAGGTCCACTGGCTGGGGTAGGTCTTGGCCTTCCCTAAAGAAGAACTGTGCTAACTGTACTGTCCAGAATTCGTGTGACATTTAGGAAACCAATGGGAACTGTGTCACATGGCCAAGGCATTAGGGAAGGCAATTGAAAAGACAATGCTTGATCCTCTCTAGGAGCCTGGAAAACTTTCTGGAATTGGGCATATGGACAAATGTGATTGGCTGCAGATGGGGAGGTGGGAAGCATCAGATTAAGAGCAAAGTTTCCATTCACTCTTGTAAACTCTCCTTCTCTAAGACTTCCAGGGAGAGGTAGGTGAGGGTCCTTGCCTATGTGCCCAGAGCAGGACCCTGGCTCAGCAGAGAGAGACAGGGCTCAGGTCCACAGCAGTGGCAGCCCTGCAGCAACACTCAACCCAGCTCTGTTTAAGCAGCACTCAAGTAAGACCGGGGGTGGGAATAGATAGTGGGAGCAATCCATGATTGAGGTTTGGCAAAATATGAGTAACATAAGGTCAACGAGGCAAGGAATTTGAGAGTACGGTGTGTAATGTTGAACCAGTTATTTACACGGTCAAAGACAGGAAATGAGGAAAGTAAAGTCAGGGGAAAATATGAAAGGGTGGGGGGAAATGGTGAGGACAGGATGAGGAAGAAGAGGAAGCCTTATACAGTCCAGCCTCAGAAGGCTGCTCACCAGCAATGAGGGGCCAGAAAGCAAGTGACAGGGGAAATCAGAAAAAGGCTAAAACACCAAAGTTATTCAAAGAAAAAGCCTCAAAGAATTGGAAATTGAGGGAATGCCCATCAACTGGGGAATGGCTGAACAAGTTGTGGTATATGAATGTAATGGAATACTATGATGCGCTAAGAAATGATGAACAGGCTGACTTCAGAAAAACTTGGAAAGACTTGTATGGTCTGATGCTGAGTGAAGTGAGCAGAACCAGGAGAACGATGTACACAGTAACAGCCACTTTGTAAGATGACTGACTTTAACAGACTTAACTCTTCTCAGCACTGCAAGGATCTAAGACGTCTCCAAAGGTCTCATGATGGAAAATGCTATCCCCATCCAAAGAACTATGGAGTTGGAATGAAGATCAAAGTACACTATTTGCTATTTTTTTCCCCTTCTGCTTTGTTTTGTTTCCTCTTTCTTGTGGTTCCTCCTATTGGTTCTAATTCTTCCTTACAATATCACTAATGTGAAAATATGTTTAATAGGAATGTATATGTATAGCCTATATCAGATAGCACGTCGTCTTGGGAAAGAAGGTAGGGAGGGAGAGGGAGAAAAATTTAAAACTCAAAAGCCTATGAACATGATTGTTGATAAATCAAAATAAATTAATAATAATAATAAAAACCTCAATAAAAGCCAGACAAATCAATATAAAGGATCCCCAAAATGAGTAAAACCTCATAGGGAACACAAAGCTCTCTTAACAAATATTATAATATTAAATAATGTGAATTAGTCCCTGAGAAGACAGAATCCTGTAAAGTCGCCACAAAGCGTGCAATAATTAAAAACTGGTATTAAAAGTATCAGACTGGTATTAAAAGAGGGGGAAATAAATTAGCATGTATATAGTGTTTGCTATTTGTTGGGTGCTGTGCTAAGTACTTTTTACTTTCATTTGATCCTCATAACAATTCTGGGCAATTATGAAGGACTCATGATGAAAAATATTTTCCATCTCCAGAGAGAACTGATGAACTGAGTACAAACTGAAGTATACTCCCCCATTTTATTATAATTTTTTGGGGGATTGCAACATGGCTAATATGGAAATGTTTTATATGATTTCACACGTATAACTGATATCATATTGCTTGTCTTATGAATGGGTGGGGGGGAAAGAGAATTGGGAACTCAACATTTAAAAAAAATGCTAAAAGTAAGTGACAGATAAAAAAGTTAAAAGATAACAGAAAAATAAAGGTGGGAGCTATTATTAACCTCATTTTACAGTTGAGAAAACCGAAGCAAATGGAGTTTAAATTATTTGTCCAAGGTAGATATTAAGTGTCTGACTAGATTTGTACCCAGGTTTTTCTGAATCTAGGCCCAATGCTCTGTCCACTATGCCACTAGCTGTCTCTAAATGAAAATTAAAGAGAAATAAATTCCATAAATGAATAATTAGGTCAGTAATGGGACCTTTCAACAAAATTTTTAAAGTGAGAAAAAAACTGATTTCATAATGGAGAATTTCTCTAAAGATAAAAACCAATATGGTACACAAAGAAAAATTAAATGGAAGAAAATTTGGCAAAAGAGAAGCAAAAGCCCCAAAATATTAAAAGAATACTTGAATCTTATTCAAGTCAGACAGATTAACCTTGAAGACAGGCTATGCAGAGATAATTTAACAATCATAGCTATCCTGTAAGAACATAATAGATTAAAAATCCTGAATACTAAAATGCAAAAAATACCCCCCAAAAGTATCCAGAACTTCTGAATACAGACCAAAACAAACAAAAAAACAACAAACAAACAAACAAACAAACAAAAAAACCCCAAAAAGCCAAACTGGGGCAGCTAGATGGCTCCGTAAAGCACCGGCCCTGGAGTCAGGAGGACCCAAGCTCTAATCCGCCCTCAGACACTAGACACTAGCTGTGTGACCCGGGGCAAGTCACTTAACCCCAGTGCCTAGCCTAAAAAAATAAATAAAGCCAAACTAGTAAGTAAAAACTTTAAAACTTTATTCAATATAACATGGAAAACAGATTGAAATTTTAACACAGATGTCTTCAATTGTCTCTAATCTTTCCAGAAAAGATCCCCATCAAGACTTCAGTAGCATATATATAGGAACAGCTTGGTGGCACAATGGATAGAGGGCTGGGCCTGAAGTCAGGAAGACTCATCTTCCTGAGTTCAAATCTGGCCTCAGACACTTCCTAGCTGTGTGATCCATGGCAAGTCACTTACTAATGTTTTCATCAGTTTCCTCATATGTAAAATGAGCTGGAGAAGGAACAAGTATTATTCTTTAAAGAATCACATCTTGATGGGCCTGGAAAGATCTTATATCTCCTGCTTAAACACACTAGGCAAGATAAAGCTCTCTTCTTTTCCCTACTCCATGGTTCTCTTAAGATAAAGGGAAACTGAAAAATAACTCTTCCCTCAAAAAAAGGTCAAGGACGTCTTCCCATCATTGTAAAAGGCCACTTATTATGCACATCGAAACCAATTATCTTGGATACATTTTTAAAACAAAGAAATTGCTTGCTTGCTTTCTTCTTTTTTTTTTTAATAGGCAATTGGGGTTAAGTGATTTGCCCAGGGTCACACAGCTAGTACGTGTCAAGTGTTTGGTCTGAGGCCGGATTTGAATCAGTCCTCCTGACTTCAGGGCCGGTGCTCTATCCACTGCGCCACCTAGTTGCCCCGAAATTGCTTTATTTCGATAGCCAATATTTGTATGTCAGCATTACGGGGTATATTGTTGTTCAGCTGTTTCAATCATGTCTGACTCTTCATGACCCTTTTTGGTGTTTTCTTGGCAAAGATACTGGAGTGGTTTGCCATTTCCTTCTCCAGCACATTGTACAGATGAGGTAACTGAGACAAACAAGGTTGAGGGACTTGCCTAAGGTCACACAATTAGAAAGTGTCTGAGGCCACATTTGAGCTCAGGAGTATGAACTCAGATGAGTCTTCCTGACTCCAAGCCCCACACTCTTATCTACGGCGCCACCTAGCTGCCCCACAGAGAATATACAGAATGTTAAAAAGCATAAGCATACAACAGACATTATTTAGATAGTAAAGGAATTAATATTTGCACCTACTTTGCTAATTTCTTCTTCGTATTCACGCCTCAATTCCCCAGGTTGGCTTAGCAGATGATGTGGCTTATATACATCAACTGTTTCAGATTAAAAGACAAAATATATTTACTACAGCGAACACAAATTTTGGCTAATTAGTCTATTAGTCAAAACAAAAAAAGATAATGAAATATACAACTGATTTCACACTTCAACATGATTTTACATGAAGGCCAATGACAATGTATGTTTTCAGACCTGTCTCTCTCATAGGCAATGGTAACAAATCCTTTGCAAGAGTTAAATATAAAGATTAAGTTGTAAACTAGTCTGATTTCATGTTTTATAATCTTACTACTTCAACAGTATCTTCACTCAGGTGAGACAGGCAATTAAAAGAAACTTGCTTAAATTTTCTCCTCTAAGCATCCTTTCTCAAATATTTCTTCTGTCCTTTTGAAAAAATGAACAAGCTTAGAAGTAGTAAAATTTGGGTCTCTGTCTCACCTGACCATCTATCTTCTCTTCTTGTCCTCAAACTGATTAACTGCTCCCCCCACCCCCAACCCCACTTTTAAAAAATTCTCCATAGCTGGAAGAAAATTTCACAGCAGACACTGAGCTACGCTGGCATTTGTTCCTGGCCCTGGAAGTATTTTTTCTTGCATACATTATCAATTTATGGCACACACCGCCTACTTAGCAGTTTTCATAGTTTTAGAAGAATTAACTGAAATTGAACTTTCCAAGGGCACCAATCTATTAAATCAACTGCATGGCTTTTTTCTCAAGCCTTCACTTTCTTGACCTCTTTGCATCATTCAACATAGGTGACCCAGATATTCTTTCTTCTGAGTTTTCATGTTACTGCTCCCTCCTGGTTCCTCCCCTTACTCTTTTGCTGAATTAATCAATAAGCATTTATTAATCGATTACTTAAAAGTCTACTTCATGCCAGACACAGCGGGCATAAATACAAAGAATGAAATAATTCCTGCTCTTGCAGAGCTTACATGCTACAAGGGGAGACAATTGCAGATATAAGCATGTACGGAATACAGAAAATAAATAACAAATAGTTAAAAAAATAAGGTAGTCAGAGGAAAAGAGGGCACCAACAGTTGAGGGGGCATCAAAGAGAAGAAGGTGGTACTTCAGGCATGATGCAAGGGGGAAGCACACACACTCTAGACACGGAGAAGGACTACTGCAAAGGCACAGAGAGAGCAGACGTGCTGGCGAGTGTAAGGAAGAGAGAAAAGGACAGCTTGACTGCACAGTGGAGCACAGGCGAGGGAGTCTGGGAAAATAGGCTGAGGCCAGGATGTAAATGGCTTTAAAAGCTAAACCAAGTTTACATTTGATCCCAGAGGCAACGGGGAGCCACCGGAGTTGAGTAAGTGGAGGACTGACGTGGTCAGATCTGCATACCTTGGTAGTTGTGTGGAAGACGGGACTGGAGCAGGTAAAGACTTAGGTATCAAGTCCAATCAGTTGACCCTACACTAATCTAGGTAACAGGTGATGAGAACCTGAACAACAGTGGTGGTTATGTGAGTATACTCACATGAGAAGGATGAGAAGGAGTCTGAGAGGAGAAATACTGCAGAAGGAAAAAAAACAAAGCAAGGTTTGGCAATGGGTTGGCCATATAGGATAAAGGAAAATGAATAGGCAAGGATAATTTTAAGGTTATAAACCTAAAATATTGGAAAAATAGAGGTACCCTTAACAGAAAAAGGAAGTTTAGAAGAAAGAAGATAATGAGTTCCAATTTGGACATGTTGAATTTGAGCAGTCCATAGGACAATTCAGTTTCAAATGTTCAATGGGTAACTGGTATTGCAGGACTGATACTCAAAAGGAGAGAAAAAGCTAGAAATGTTGATGGGAGTTATACACATAGAGATGACAATAAAACTCAGGAACTGATGAGGTCACAAACTGTAGAGAAAAAAATAGGGCCCAGGACATAACCCTGGAGAACACACACAATTAGGGTGTGTGTGATGGCTACTGAGAGAGCAAAAGAGATGGAGGAGGAACAGCCGGACAGGTTGGAGAACCAGAGGAGAACATTGTTTGGGAAACCCCAAGAGGAACGAGTATCCAGGAAACGGGCCGGGAGGTAGGGGTGGAGGGGGGGTGAGGGGAGGGGGTGTCAATTGGGTCAAAAGCAGCAGAGAGGAGGTCTAGAAGGATGAGAGCTAAGAAAAAGACTTTCAGTTATGCCAATTAAGAGACAGTGATTTCAAATGTTTCAAAGTGATGTCATCAGAGGGCAGAATTTCTTTTTTTTTTCTTTAGTGAGGCAATTAAGTGACTTACCCAGACTCACACAGCTAGAAAGACAAGCAGAATTGATGAGGTGAGATTGCAACAGGCTGAGGAGTAGTTGGGAGGTAAGAAGTGGAGGCAATGAGCATAAATAATGTTTCCTGGATATTCAGCTGAGAAAAGGAGAAGAGACATAAGACAACTGTTTGAGAAGATGGTTCAATCTTGTTGTGAACCAGTACAAAGAAGCATGCTAGATATTAGAGAGAGAGATGGGGTGACTGAAGTGTTGTGGGGCTGTGTGTGTGTGTGTGTGTGTGTGGATTCAAAGGGACATATAAAGGGACTATCTTTGGCAAAGAGAAGGGTCACCTAATTATCAGAAACTGAGGGAGAGAACAGGTGATGTCAAGGGGTTTTTAGACAAAAAGGAAGGAGAAGGAGCTCATGACAAAGTGCCACTATCCGTATATTGCCCCCTATCTGGGGCACCCCAGAGACTCTTCCTCCTCCACATCACCTCTTTTGGAGATCTTACCAGCTCCCACTTCCAACTATCAGCTCTACTAGAGATCAGACAAGAGAGCAGAATAGCAGGAAGAAGTGCAGCAGAGTTCTCCCCCAAAAGATCTAGAAAAGGCACCAAACCAACTCCTGACTAGGAACCCGAGAAAAAAAAAATCACAGCGAGTCATTTTTCCAACCCAGGTGAACAAAGAGAGGCAGAATGATCTGCTGCTAACGGGGATAATCATAGCTAGATGGTCTTTTAATGTTGGGACTGAACCAAGATCTGTCCATGGCTGTACACCAAGGCAAAAAGAGGTCCCACACTCAAGAGTCCTGACTTTGTGCAGGAAGCAGGAAAGGTATCACCTGGCAGCTTTGTTTCTCACTACCCAGCTCTGCGACACAGATCCAGGGTAGACTGAGCAAGAGACCTTCATCCAGGCCACAGGCTATGTACTGAGCAAGCAGCAGCTTTGAGGCTCTGAACCTGGAACTGAGAATCTCAGTTTTGGCCCCTAGGCCAGTCTGATGACAGAAGCAGAATAACTACAGCAGGAATCCCAGACCAAAGGAAAACTTACAGATCTGTAAGTTTGAGCCTACAGAGCTTTCCAGCCGGCTGAGTTCAACTCAAACCAATGGGAAGCCCACAGATGTGCTGCTCAGATCCAAACACAGGTCAGGAACTTGGAGGGGTCAGACAGACCAGGGCTAAAGTAATCAGACTTTGCCCTGGATCAGAAGACTTTGGGAACAATGAGAGCTTGCAGGTCCCCAGCCCTGAGAAAGCAGTAGCATGACTCAAAAGAACAAAAGTGCAGCCTAGAGGTTGCATCCAGAAGTGTTTAGAGTCTGGTCCTAACATAAAGTCAGAAGTTAGAAAGTAGGGTGAAAGAATGAGCAAACAAAAAAGGAATTCATCATAAAAAACTATTATGGTGACAGGGACACCCAAGACAGACCTAGAAGAAAATGATTCCAAAAGACCTGCAAGCAAAGCCTCAAAGAAAAACACAGCTGGACCTAAGTTCAACTAGAATTCCTGAGGAAAAAAATTATGAAGCAAGAGTTAAAAAGAAATCAGTTATGGGAAGAAAAGAATTGGAAAGAGAATCAACAGCTTGGCTCAAAAGGTACAAAATCTGACCTGAGTGGCAGATTCCCTGAAAATTAGAATGGACCAATATGACATGAGACAACAAAAAATAAAACAAGGTCAAAAAACTTTAAGAAGGAAAAAAAAGTGAGATATCTTAAACTGACCTGGAAAACATATTGAGGAAAGGTGGACTACCTGAAAGCCATAACTACAAAAAGAGCCTAGCCATCATATTTCAGGAAGCCACAAAAGAAAACTGCCCAAAGAACACAAAACAATTCTATATGAAACCATCAAGTTCCAATTCACACTTCTTGCTCTTTTAAAGTGCAAAAAAAAAAAAAAAAAAAATCACAATTTACTGTCCTGCTTGTCTATCCTTCCTCCTAAACTTTCTTTTATTCTCCTCTATGCACTTAAAAAAAATTGGCCCTCCTCTTTGTCACATTATTACTAAATCCCTCTTTTCCCTCCTATCCCCTCAAGTTAAAAAACAAGAGAAAGAAATCTAAAAACATTATTTCTCTTCCTGTACCTTGTCTTTATCTTTCTGGCAAGAGATGGGTAACATGCTGATTAGAGGTGCTCTGGATATATGGCTAGGTGATTTGGTTGATTGATTAAAGTTCTTGGTAGCCAAGCTCAAAAGTTATTAATCTATACAGGGCTTTTTAACCTGGGGTCTATGAACTTGTTTTTTAAAAATAATTTTATAACTGTATTTCAAAATTATTAGTTTCTTTGTAATCCTATTTATTTCAATTTATGCACTTAAAAATATTATTCAGAGAAAGGATCCATAAGCTTTAATTACAACATTACCAAAGTGGTCTATATGATTTAAAAAATTAAAAAATATATATATATACATAAAAAAAGGAACCCCTGCATTAGTAGGTTAGATGAAAATAACCAGGGATCTGAACAGTATATGCAGACCATGTGATAAGACCCAGTGGTCCTCCATCACACCAGAAGGTAAAGAGTCAATGACTCTCATCTCATCCCAGCAGTGGGAACAGTCAAGTGGCCAGGGACCATCTTTGCTTGTGCATTTGTATCTACAAATACAAGGTCACTGAATGCATTCCAGGTCATGGCCAGTCATCCTGACTCTTCTTGTCTTGCCACTAACCTTTGATAACTCTGGAAGAGAAAGTGAGGCTGATGACTTCATGCAGCTTTTCCTTACTTAAATCCAACTCATGGGCAAGTCAAGACTACTGTGTGATGTCATTGGGCCTCTTTAAAAAATGGAGGACACCAACGACAGAAATAAACGCCCTTCCTTTCATTTGTACACTGATAAGGTCACAAACTTTATTCCTTCCCTTCTTAGATTATTATGCCCTGGAAAATGCCAGGGATCCAACTACTAGGGTAATGATTTACTATCTGACAATAAATGCTGGGAAAACTGGAAAGCAGTCTGGAACAAACTTGGTTTAGATTATCTCCTATCACAAACTTCAGAGGACAACTAAACCAGATATAAAAGTTAAGAAAGCATGAGAGGAATTACCTTTCACAAACATGAATAGAGGAAGAGTCTGAGACAAACCAAGGAATAGGATAGAGGGGATCACAGAAGATAAAATGAACAATTTTGATCATGTAAAATTTTAAAATTTTGGCACAAACAGAATCAATGCAGTTAAAATCAGAAGAGAAATAGTTAAGGGGAAAAAAATCTTTGCAGCAGTTTTCAAACAAATTTCTCTAATAAAGATATATAACAAGTTTACTGAAATACAGAAGCTGAACTATTCTCCAATAGGTGAATGGTCAAATGATATAGAGTTAAGTCTCAAAGGAAAAAAATCTAATCTATCAATCCAACTCAATATTAAAGAAATGTAAATCAAAACAATTCTGAGATTCTACCTCATGCCTATCAGATGAATACTAATGTACTATTGGTGGAACTATAAAATGGTGTGACCATGCCAGAAAGCAATTGGAACTATATCCAACAAGCCACTAAAACTGTGCAACACTATTGATCCAGCAATACTATTATGCTTATATCAAAAAGAAATTAAAGGAGGAAAAAGATCCATATATACAAAAATATTTATAGCAGCTATTTTTGTCATAGGAAAGAAATGAGAACTCTGATCAATGTAATGACCAGCCACAACTTGAGAATATACAATGGTAAAGCAAGTTACTCATCTCCCGGATAGACAGGTGACAGATTCAGTTCGAGAGACATTTTGGACTTGGCCAGTTTATGAATTAGTTTTTCCCTGACTGCTTACTTGCTTCAAGGGTTTTGAGTCTCTTTTAAAATTTTTTTGGGGGTTAGGGATAATGTTGCCCACTTAAAAAAAAAAAGGTCACTAAAACACTTTAATAGATTTGAAAGAGTGCACTTACATATCTTAAAAAAGCAAGATATAGCTAGTAGGGATTCATACTCATACAATCACCTTTTTTCAGTTCCGTTTGTGTATATGGACATACTAATTTTCCTCCTCTTTGGTGTTAACTGAAGAATTTAAAAAAAAAAATTTTTTTAAATGCTAAGGATTTTCCCACTGATATTCTTTCCAAGTCATATCTATTATTTTCTGTTGTACTGCACTTTTTAATCTATGAATAGTTCAACCTCCCCTTCTACTTTTTATTGTAAACCTCAAATCTTGCATACAGTAGGCACTTAAAGTTTGCTGAATTGAATTAGAGGCTGAATGATTAGAGTTGCAAATCTTCAGAACAAGTCTTTTTTTTTTAAACTGGTTCTAACTCACAAGATAAACCCTCCTTAATTTTATTAGTTATAATTTTCTCCTTTCCCAACTTTATAGTGTTTACATATTGTTACCCCACAGCAAAATGTAATTTCTTTGAAAAAATTTTTCATATATTGTCTTTATCTTCCTCTAGCACAACCTCATACCTAGTAGCTACTTAATGCTTGTTGGGTTGGTGAGTTATGAGAAGTTGCTATGAAAAGTATAAAGTGCTATCCACATAAAAAGTGCTACTATTGTTATATGTATAAATACTGGATAAGACAAAACATAATCAAATACAGAATTGTGTGGCATAGACCAGGGGTCCTCTCCAGCATGCCTGCTAGCTAATGGTTTTTACATTTTAAAAACTTTATTTTAAATCTATTCTTAGTTGGGAGCTGTTTATCAATGTGATATACTTTGTTTTTATATCATAGTCTCCCCCCCCCCTTTTTTGGTGAGGCAATTGGGATAAAGTGACTTGCCCACGGTCACACAGCTAGTAAATGTCAAGTATTTGGTCTGAGGCTGGATTTGAACTCAGTTCCTCCTGACTCCAAGGCCAGAGCGCTATCCACTGTGCCAACTAGCTGCCCTTTGGGAGCTGTTTAAAAACAAGTGCTTTAGTTTACTGACACTGGCATAAACATTACATGCAATAAAACAGCAATGTGGGCTGTAATCACAATGGAAGGATTCATGCAAAAGACTATCTCCTGAGGTAGTAGTATTGTGCTAAGCACTTTACTACCCAAGCCTGGCTCTTGTTGGACTGAAATGAAATGCAAGGGAAAGAAACTAAGGAGTTTCATGTTGGGAAGGACAGAAAGAAAATGCTGGGTATGTCAGAACCAACTGTTAAGGGCTTGGAATTCATTATTCCACACTTCTTGAGCACTGCCCACTTTCATTTTTTTTGGAAGAGCTTGGGCTTTATCTGGGGCAACTAGATGGAGTAGTGGATAGAGTATTGGGTCTTAAGTCAGGAAGTTTCATATTCCAGAAGGACAAATATGACCTAGACACTTATGTGACCTTGGGCAAGTCACTTAACCCTGTTGCCCAAGGTTCCTCATCTGTAAAAATGAGCTGGAGAAGAAAATGACAAACCAGTACCTTTGCCAAGAAAATTCCAAAGGAGATCACAGAAGAGTCAGATACAACTTAACAACAGAAAGAAAGAAGGTAATCTAGAAGTACTAAAATGACTAAACAGAAAAAGGTTTATCTGACAGAGCTGGAAATAGGGCACCACTGTCGGCTTAGTGATAGTTAAAGAATGAACGGAGACAAAAATACAGCCAATGCAGAAAATGAGAGGGTAAAGGTAAGCCCAACACTGAGTTCCTACTATTTCTATAGCGATGCTATAAGTATATCTGTAAATATTTGAATGGAAGACTAAGGAGGGTACTTGTAGTATTTTATCATCTCCATTTTTCACTCCACAAAAATTAATGGAAGGTCTACTATGGCAATGGAGAACATAAAGATGAATAAGAACTAGGCCCTGACTTCATCTGACCTTCCTTGGTAAAAAATTAACTTCAAAAACAAAACAAAACAAAACCAAAACAAAACTTAGATCAACACCAGCTTTGGTGGGGGAAAAAAAAAGGCTGACTTTAAAAGCTAATTGTTTTCCAAAGAAAGAACTCATTCTCTTTACTCACCGTCATCATCCAAACTCTGTTCAGCAGTTCTAGGCTTGCACTTCTCTGGATAATGTTTTTGGATTTTGTTCCATAGTTCCATGTTGATAAGAGTATTTTCCCGGGCATGTTGCCTGGCCCACGAAGAGACCCTCCGACGACAGAAAGGACAGCACAGATTAGCCTTTTCCACAGTCAACTGGAAACACGAATTACAAAGCGTGTGGCTACAAGGCAGGGTCACCGGTTCTATTAGTATATCCGTGCATATCTGGCACAAGCAATCGGATAAAGAAAGCACAGCATCGGGAGTCGAAGCCATTTTACTGAATGAATGTCGTTAATCTGGCATCAAAATCTAAAAGAGAGAATATTTAAACACCTTAAACCAGAGACGTGGTGCTTAAGAAAATGCCTTTTGTTTTCCTTTCTCCAAGTGCAGAATGTAAGAGAAAACAAATGCTTAATTAAAAAAAAAATTCAATTCCAAACTCTCTACCTCTTTAAAGCTCCTCCCCCGCCCACTGAGAAGGCAATCAATAAATAAATGCAATTTAATTGAAAAAAATTTAAATGTGAAATAATGCGTTTAGTAATGAGAATTCTAGTTTTTGAGCAGCACACAGAGATTCTGATTCCTGTTCCCTTTTCATAACATTCCCTTAGGCTGGTTTGGCCCTTGGATGCACCCTACAAAGGTGCATTATCTTATTTTATCCTCCCAACCCCAGCAGCGGCTCTTCATCCTCTGTTTGGAGGATGCTGGTATAGATTGGGGAAAACTGGGTCATTAAATCCATTTTGCCATTGCTTTGGCCTTAGATTGAATGCCACAGACATAATCCGGCAATGAATGAAAAGCCCGTCGGGGGCGGCAGCCACAAGCACGGACTTGTGAGCCAGAGGGGGGGAGGGGACTGCGTCCGGATCAGCACCGATCCGGTTCTGGGAGACAGCACCAGCGAAGGATGCAGAACGCTCCCGTCAAGCCCCAGGCTTCCGCGACCCCCGCCCCCGGCCCCGGGTTTGGATTCGGAGGCTGAGCCTGAAGACTCACACAGCGGGAGGCCCCCGCGGCGGCCCGGGCAGGGCAGCTCCTGTTCCCTCCTGGGTCGCGACGCCCGGAGCCGCGACTTCTGCCGTCTCTCCTCCGCGGATGCTGCGGCGGTAGCAGCTGCAGCTCCCGCACATCTGAGGCAGCGCTCGCGGGTACGCCTCGCTCCACGGCGGGCCTCCCGCCACCGCCACCGCCACCACGGCTGCTGCAGACGCCACCACCGCCGCCGCCGAGGCCGTCCCGCGTGCCCCTCCCACCTCCCCCGACGCGCCTCTTCTCCTCCTCCCCACCCCGGAATACGCCTCCGCAGTCTCAAGGGGTGTGACGTCACATCCGGCGGACGGAGCCTTCTCCAACCTTCTGGCTGAAAGCGGCTTAGCGGGGTGGGGCTAAACCTCCGACTCCGAGGATTCCGCAGTCTTCGCGCTCCTGCACCCCCTTCTCCTCCCGCCAGCCAATCAGCACGCGCCTTGGAAGAATGCCTGGGGCCGGCTCCTGAGATATTCCCGCCCTTACGTCATTGTCCCGCGTCCCGCCCCCCTCCCCCCACCCGCCTTTGTCCTCCTGCCTCTGTCCTCCGCCCCAGTCAATTTTATGATTATTTCTACTTCCGCGATAAACTAGGACAGGTTCTTCCTAGAAGGTTTTAGTGAATGTTAAATGAAACTATGGAATCCTTCAAGTTCAGCCCCCACCTCCTACGAGATACCTCTCGGGATCTCCTCAAGCTGCTTATTAAATATTTACAAACTAAATATTTACTAAGTGTTGTTACTAAGTTGGCGGCTAGGTGGTGCAGTGGATAGAGCACCATGCCTGGAGTCTGGAAGACCTGAGTTCATAAGCTACCTCAGGTACGAACATTGTGTGACCCTGGGCAATTCACTTAACCCTGTTTGCCTCGGTTACCCCATCTGTAAAATGAGCTGTAGAGGGAAATGGCAAACCACTCCCAGTATCTTTGCCAAGAAAACCCCAAATAAGATCATGAAGAGTCAAACACGATTGAACAACAGAAAGTTGCAAAGTATTTTATGACAGTGTGCTGGAGCCAGTTCTTACCGAGTATATTAAATTTTCACTTAGGAAATTGATAAAAGCTGCAAATTATGACCCGATTTATTGTTTTGTTGATGGTCTCCCAGGGTGAAGAACCCGCCCAGTCAAAGGGCTGCACTTGAGGACCTAGAAGGCCACATGTGGCCTCCAGACCCAAAGGTTCTGCACCCCTACTTAAGCTTGCTTGGTATGTTTGTTTTTGCTTATTGTTTCCCCACTTTAGATTGTAAGCTCCTTGAGGGTGGGACTGTGTTTGGCCTCTTTTTGTGTCCCCAGTGCTTAACAGGTACTTGGCACAAAGTACACAAAGCAAGTGCTTAGTACAAGTTTATTGAATTGAATGAACTTTGTCTCCCTGTTTAAATAGTAAGCTCCTTGAGGGTATTGACTGTCTTTTGCCTGCACTTAACACTATACCTGGAGACAGAGTATAGGCCCTTGGAAATCCCCCTCCCCAAACTTCCCCAGACTTTTCTCCTTTTCCCACATGGTCAAGTCTCTGGTGTTCACCTGCGGCTCATTATCCCAGTTATTCTCTCAATTGGCCTTTCGATGTGGCTCCACCCAATCTCCCAATTCAGTTACCTCCCATTATCTGTTACCTTCCCATGCCCTGGCCACTTCCCACCCATGATAGACTCCATTCTGCCTCCCAGTCACCCCAGCCTACTGGCCACTCCCATCAAGATCCTCCCTAGGACCCCTTCTCCCAGTCACCTCAGACTGCTTGGCCACTCCTAGATCCCTCACATAGCCCTTCCGTATACACAATCCATCTTGGTCACCATTAAGGTCCTCAGATTCCTTAAGAGTCTGGCCAATGCTTAGATTCCTTAAGAACCTGGCCAATATGGCAGATTTTTAGAATCACGCCCACCCTCTAGGGGTGTTTTAATAAGCTTTGTCTTTGACTGAAAGAAGAAGGCTTGGGTCAAATTCACTGGGGCAGACCCTCCTGTTGCTATTTTGGGGTCCCAGCACCCCTAAACCTCAACATCTAGCACATAGTAAGTGCTTAATAAATGTTTATTGAAGGAATGATGGAGAAAAGGTTAATAATGCATATTAAAGGGACATCTAGATGGCGCAGTGGATAGAGCACCTGCCCTGAAGTCAGGAGGACCTGAGTTCAAATACGGCCTCAGACCAAACACTTGACACTTACTAGTTGTGTGACCCTGGGCAAGTTACTTAACCCCAATTGCCTAAAAAAAAAATACATATTAAACTGAAAAGTATATAATGTCTGCATTTTGGGAGAGAGCCAGCACATCCCTATTTATATGTATGTAGGCTGTAAGGTCGTTTAGGGACTAGGGACTTTTAAAAAATTTTTTGATCTATCTACCAATCTTAGCATAGTACCTTTCCTTTGATGAGTGCTTAACCATTTTTTATGTCACCACTTTTTTTTTTGGAGGCAATTGGAGGCAATTTTAGAGGCAGGTTAAGTGACTTGCCCAGTGCTACACAGCTGTTAACCATTTTTTAAAAAATTGAGTAATCGGTCATTTAGACTTTGACAGTGGCAACATTTAAAGATTAGGACAATATGAGGAAGCACTGGTGAAGATAAAATTTAAGTTTCCAGTAAAAGCTGCCATGGGAACTGGGGAAACTAGTTAGCATCGTACTTAGGCATAATAGGCTGCCCTGGGCTTGGAGTCTGGAAGAGCTGAGTTCAAATCCTGCCTGAAATGCTTAACTGTGTTGCTTTGGGCAACGCTTTTAACCTTTTTAGGTGTAAGTTTCCCCCAAATAAAATAACATAAGTAAAGCTTTTGGCAGCTCTCAAAGCACTGTGTAAATGCTTATTACTGTTATTAAATTGCAAGTAGAAAAGGCTTGGGTCTGAGAGATTTTCAGAAGGGTCACGAATTCCTTCTATAACACCACCCTCAAGTCAAGTCAACAAGCATTTATTAAGGAAGTATTAGGTAACTGACAGGCCTCAAACCTTTTGGTGACTTAGGGGGATGTCTACCCCAAGACTGTGTGAAGACTTTTCCCAGTAGAGCACTGAGAGCAGGGTCAGATATGGAAGATGCAAAGGTCATCCACCGAATCCTGGGCTGGTCATCTTTTATTTTTTTTTTAACACTTGATTTTTTTTTTCTGTATGTAATATAATGTTTAGGCATGCTGCTTGTGAGGCTATTTCTAAAAAATTGTTGGCCATCATTCAGAGTGTCCTTTTGGTTTTAAATACTGGTCAGGAAAAAACAAATGACGTAAAAATAGGTGAAGAACTTTCTATTACAGAAATGAAAAATTGATTTGCATCTAAAAGTGCAAGAGGTAATGTAGAAGTGACTCCTTGACCAGACAGACATCGCTTCTGCTGTTGGAGAAGGCAGGTCGATTTTTATACTGACATAGAAAATTATAAATTACAATGAATTAGTATCCATAATCACTATTTATACACAAACTAGGTCTAAAAAATACACTGGTTTAGGATTTAAGAGTGAAAACTTCACACGGCACAGGAAAACATGCTCAGGAGCCCAATTTTGATTGATACTTTCAAAATGCTATGCCCCCCCCCAAAAAAAACTAATTCTACTGATTCTATTAGCAGTAAGTGCACAGGCTCCTGTGGCTTGCCTAATATGAGTAGAGTATTATAAATATGCATATTGTTCTGAAATGTTCATTTGTAATGCTTGGTTAACAAGGTACAATTCGGTGAATGAATGGGTTAAGAGGCAGGTGAATTACCAAATGGCCTCGTCATCTTGACTTTTGTCTTGCTACTGGACTTTGGTGGGCAACCTGCCCTTGCTCTGCCCAAAGGAATGTAAATTTTGATCACTGAAACCTTGAAAATTATCTTAGAGTTTACAGGATATAGTTCTTTCTGAAGGACCAAGCCTTAAACCCAAATCACTCAGGTTCTCCTCCATTGGCCAACAATAGGTCCTAGGCTAAGCCCCACTATGTCATTGTTTGGGCTCAGAGTAAATGTAAATATCACTTGATTCTGTTTTGGCCTGAAACCCTAAGGGTCTTCCCCTCCCTGATTGATTTTTTTTTATTTTTGAAGCGGTAAAAGAGGCCATTCTCTGACTTATTTCTTACCTAGTCTGAATCACTGATTGGGTGTTGCCTCAGTCAAACTGAGACCTGTTAAGAATTTAGCTGAAAAAGGCCAGTGTCTCTCACTGCATCCAGAGCCATTTCCAGTTGTCCTGATCTATATCTTCCCACTAGTCCCAGATGACTCCAGGGGAGAAAGTGAGGCTGGTGACTGTACATTTCTCCCTCACTTAAATCCAATTCACTTGCATGTCATGGCATTACTTCCCTGATGTCATGGTTCTCTTTGAGAACAAAAGACAAACAGCAACAGGATATGACCTATGTGATATATTGTTGTAATCTCCTTACTAATACTTTATTTAAAATTTTTGCATCAATATTCAATAGGGAAATTCATGTATAATTTTCTTTATTTCTACTGCCTCAGGGTTTGATATCAAGACCATATTTTGTCATAGAAAGAATTTGTTAGGAGTCCTTTACCTGTTTTTTTTTTTCAAGTAGTTTATGTAGTATTGGAATTCATATTTCTTTAAATGTTTGATAGAATTAGTTTTTAATTTCATCTTGTCCTCTTATTTTTTTTTCACTTTAGGAATCTACTCATGGTTTGTTCAATTTCTTTCTCTAAGATTAGGTTATTTAAGTATTTTATTTCCTGTTCTATTAATCTGGGCAATTTATATTTTGTGGTAAAAATTCATGCATTTCATTTAGATTGTCATATAACTGGGCAAAATATCTCCTGATAATTGTTTTAATTTCTTCTTCATTAGCTATGAATTCTTTTACATTTTTTATAATGATAATTTTGTTTTCTTTGTTAAAAATCAAATTAGAAAATAGCTTGTCTATTTTATTTTACTTTTCTAGAAAGCCAGCTTCTAGTTTTATTTATTAGTTCAATGGTTGTTTTGACTTCCAGCTTTGTTAATCTATCCAAGATGTCTATTTTGGTGTTTAATTGGATTTTTTAATTTGTTGGCTTTCTAGTTGTTATGTTATTATGGTCATAGGGTTAAATTGGAGAGCAAGGTAGGACTGGGTAAGAAATAGCTGAAGTCTAAGGATATAGAGTCTGATAATATACTTGGTAGTTTATTGGACACTGGGAGGGCTGTTCCCTTATTCTCTCTCCAACCCTGGTTTGGTAATAGTATCAATATTCTAAAGATTGATAACTGGTTATTTGGGGACTAGGGTGGAATAAGAGAAAGAAAGGAGGAAAAGATGATAAAGAATTATAGTTACTGGTGATAAAGGAAAGTTGGAATGGAAGGAGGTGGAGACTATGAAAAAAGTGGGCATTAGAGTAAATGAAGGGTATGTGAGCAAGGATATTTGGAAGGGGGCCAGAGGGGATGGATGGCATGGTGTTTGTGTTCATCACAGGGAACTAGGGCATAAGAGATGACCTGTAGACTGAACTAAGTCACATGGGATAGTAAAATTTCATGGAAGGGGCAGCTAGGTGGCTCGGTGGATAGAGCACCAGCCCTGAAGTCAGGAGGACCTGAGTTCAAATCTGGCCTCAAACAAAACGCTTGACACTTACTAGCTGTGTGACCCTGGGCAAGTCACTTAACCCCATTTGCTCCCCTCCTCCAAAATTCATGGAAACATTTTTGGAAATCTTCATTTCTGTGTTACCCTGTGACCCTAACTCTCTACAAAAGGTGATAGAAGCAGGCTTTAACTGAAATATAGTTGCAAGACCCAACAGTTATTTAACTTGATTATTTAACTCTTTATGTATTCATATCTGTATCCCTAACTAAACTATAAGCTTTGAAGGCAAAGACTATGCGTTCTTTTTACTTCTTTATATTTCCCATAGCACCTCCCATGATGCTATTGATATTTTAGACACTCAATGAATACTAAATGATGACTGAATGAAGAGCTTCTTTTGCAGTGAGAATAAATTCAGAGATTTAGAGAATTGCACATATGAACATAAATAATTACAACTTTTCATCACAAACGTGAATTAGTTTTAGATGGGGAATGCCACCATTTTCAAGATTTCCTTTTGTTCTTTTTTTATGCTCTAATAGTTTTCTTATTCTCTGTTATCTGAACTGCATGCAGCAAACTCTTCTGCAAAATCTGGTTCTTCACCATATTGGTTATTATGGGGGTGGCATCAGGGATGTACATCCGCCTCAGGTTAGCTGAATAGTATTCTGCTTTGCTGCTATGTGCAATAAAGAAAGTACAGAAGGCTTTGACATCTTCTTCCTGAAGTCCTAACGCCCCTAAAACTGTGTCCCATGCAACTGTAATACGTTTGTTATTGTTTTTTCGCTTAAGAACAGTTGCTAAAGTGGGAAGCCCCCTTTCCAGGTCTGGAAGTTTCTCCAGTACCTGAGAGTGTAGGTAATGAAGCGTTTCAATGATGTAGCTGTAGAAGATATTTAATTCCAAAGAAGTGAACCTGTGAAAAAGTTGGAAAAAGTCTTTGAGAAACAGCACTGTTTTCTCTAGATATGTGAGATTAATTTCCATTAAGACAGGTCAATTTAAAATGACAAACCTGACAAGCTAATCACGTTTTGTTTTTTTTTTTCTGGAAAATGTACTTAAGAATCACCTATATTTTAATGAGTTGTTACTTAGCCCTCATTGCATCTAGGAAAATATGATTCTTTCATGGTCCATCAATGCAAAAGCATTGGGAAATTCAGAATTGATGACCATTAAAATTTTTAAAAAATCCACCTCCTAAGCCACAAAGGTACACTTTTTTCCTCTTTTGCTTGATCTTACTTGATCTCCAGAACGGCTGTCCACATCTCATCTTGGACTGCCTGGCTTTCCAGAGTCTTTCTGTGAAATTCAAACTTTTGAGTCAGATTTTCCATGGCAGAGTCCAATTCTTCAAACTGTGTCTCCAAAGTCTGAAGTTTTTTCTCTACCCTAAAAAATGAAAAAAGCAAGTTTTTGTCAAGTGGGGTAGTGCACACCTATCTTCCCAACTACCAGGGAGGGTTAAGCTGGGTGATCTCTTGAGCTCCTAAATTCCAAGCTGCAGTGGGTAATGCCTACCTGGTTCGACATAAATATGGTAAGGAATGGGGGAAATAGTACAGGTTGCCTCCTTAAGGAGGAAAGAACCAGGCCAGGTAAGAAATGGAGCAGGTCAAACAAAAGCCCTGTGACAGTCAGTACTGGGATCAGTCATGAATAGCCCCTGCACTTCCAGCCTGGGCTAGGTAGGGAAACCCAGTAGAAAGAAAGAAAGAAAAGAAGGAAAGAAAATTAAGTTTTACTTTAGATCAGTGGGCAAAGTTGCTTGCACTCCTACATTGAAATAGCGCTTAATTGCTCTGACAGTGGCTAATTTGAAATTCCATCAGCAATTATTAGAAATCTTCAAAAACAGCTCTTCCAGGTAGTGGAATAAGCAGAAGCAGGACAACCCAGCTCTCTCACAACTATTCCAGCAAGAATGAAAAAAGAACACCAGACCAGAGTAATGATCATGAAATCCAAATCGAAACTACAATAAGTACATTTTTGCCAGTCCATGTCTGCACAAGGAGATAGTCAAAAGCTTTTTAACAATGGGGAAAGGGCCCAGCCAGAAGAAGCCTAGCACAAGAGTTTAGCTTACAGGAACACCAACTTGGAAACTAGGGACAAAATAGGAGAGCCTGCAGCTTTGTACAAGGGCAAAGAGACAAAGAGTCCACATCAGGGTCTAGCCAAGGACTAGTTGTGTCACTCTGATCCCAGACTAAGGCCCAGGATCTTGCAGGACTTGGCCTATTATCGGGTATGTCTGGGATCAAACCATCCTGGCACAGATTGTACTGCAAAGACCACCTTGGCATAGCATCCTGGCCAGAGCTGCTCCTGAGGTCTTTAAAGAATATGGTGCCCATTACCCAGACTCTAGACAGATCAGGAGCCCATTATTCCTCCCAGGAATGCAAAGAGCCTGGCTCTGACAAATAGTCCCAATTGTCAAAGAAGAAAGTGTTAATAATATGCATGTTAGGCACAAGTCTGCCAGACACATTTTTTTTTTTTACTAATTTAGTATTATTCTCAATCTGAGCATTTCTAGCTTAGAAAGAGATGTACCCAACCTGACAAAGTTGTCCCATACTCAGACATCTCTCCTAGGATAATTTTAAATAATTATTGGAATCTTAAATAAGGAAAAGGTTACAATATGTTAAAATAGAGTTTGGAATTAAATATGCTTCCACACAATTCAGGGAATAAGTCTGGAAAGCAAGTAAAGAGAAGAAAACAATGATGAAGATTATATTTTAACCAGAAGTCAGGTGTGCCCAAGACACAAATCCAGAAGAAGACAATAATTTCATATCATTGATAAGCAAAGCTTCAAAGAAAATCACAGATTTGTCACAAGTTCTACTGAAATTCCTTGAAGAAATGAAGTAAGAGTTTAAAAATAATCATGTAAATGAAATAAGAGTTCTATAGGAAAGAATTAGAAGGATAAACAGATTAGTTTATTAAGGTGCAAAACTTTACTCAAGTAAACAGATTTCTTGAAAATTCATTTGGATCAAATAGAGATCAGTGCTCCTGTGAGACAGCAATAAATATTAGAGCAAAACTGAAAGCCTGAAAAAATAGAAGAAAATGTCAGGTACCTCCTATCAAAAACAAATGACCTGGAGAATAAGTCAAGGAAAGATAATTTTAAAATCATCAGATTCCCTGAATGCCATGACCATGAAAAGCATAGATAATAATTTTTTTTTAAATCAGGAATTAAAATGCCAAGACTTATTAAAACTAGAAGGTTAAGTGAAAGTAGACAGAAGCCACTGGACACCTCCTGAAAGAAACCCCAAAATGAAAATGCCAAGGAATGTCATAGCCTAAATTCAGAGCTTCCAGGTCAAAGAAAAAAATATTCAAGCAGTCAGAATGAAAGAGTTCAATACCAAGGGCCCACAGAGAGGGTCACACAAGACCTGCCAGCTACAACTTTAAAAGAAAAGAGAGCTTGGAATACAGTATTTCAAAAGGCAAAAAAAAGAGGCTTACAACCAAGAATAACTTACCCAGAAATCTTCAAATACAAGTAGGTCTTTCCTATCTTGAAAAAACCTTCACTTAATTCTGATGGTTCATCTATTTATACCCCTATTTTATCTAATTCCTTTTAATGCCAAATTTCTCTCTCCAATAAGAATTCTACTTCTTTTCATATCTTTACCAATTATTGCACTATCCTTAATAATCTGTATTTTTAAAAGTCACTATTGAAAGTCTCTTTTCTATTAGCTTCCATGATGATATGTTCTCCTATCTCTCCTATCTTTTTGTCCCCTCCTTCTCTCTCTCATTTATTGAGTCCTCTTCTTTCCTCCTAAATGTGCATGTTCTCCTAAGTTAGTGTTCAGTCCTTTCTACTTCTTTCTTTATACTACTTCTTTCTCTGAAATTGTGTCCATTTCCATAGCATCAAATACCTCCTCTATGATGATCACTTCAACATTTCCCAGAGTTGCAACTTCTTGAGCTCATATGATTCAGAATCAAAGGATTTGAGAGTTGGAAGGAACCACAGAGGCAATTTATATAAAAGGGATTGCTAATATTACTTACCTTAAGTGGTTGTCCATCCTCTGCTTAATGACGTCATAGGAGGAGAGATCCACTACCTTTCATCACAAGCCATTCCACCTTTGGATAGTTCTAATTATTAGGAAAGATATTCTTATATCTAGCCTAAATTTGCCACTTTGCAACTTCCATTCACTGCTCCTGGTTCTGTCCTTTGGGGCTACCACAGAACAAGACCAATTCCTTTGTCACATGACAAACCTTCAAATACCTGAAGACAACTAAGATGTCTCCCCTGAGTATTTTTTTTCTCTCCTAGTTAAACATGCCCAGTCTTTTCAGTTGATTTTCATCTCATGAATTCAAGATTCTTTACTATGCTGGTTGCCTTCCTTTGTATGTTCTCCAGTGTATTGAGGTTGTTCTTAATTTGTGGTGCCCAGAACTGAACATAAGTCTGCAAAGTCTGGCAACGGCAGAGTATAATGAGATTATCCCCTCCCTATATATATATATATATTTTTTAGGCAGTTGGGGTGAAGTGACTTGCCTACGGTCACACAGCTAGTAAGTGTCAAGTGTTTGGTCTGAGGCCGAATTTGAACTCAGGTCCTCCTGACTTTAGGGCCAGTGCCCTATCCACTGCATCACCTAACTGCCCCTATCCCCTCCCTATTACTGGAAGCTTTGACCCTCCTAATGCAGACCAACATTATGTTAGCTTTTTTGGCTGCTGCATCACACTGCTGACTTATTGAGCTTGCAGTTCACCAAAATCTCCAAATTCTTTTCAGAACAACTGTTATCTAGCCATGTTTCCCCTGTCACATTTATGGAGTTGATTTTTTTGTACCCAAATGAAAGACTTTACATTTATCGCTACTCAATTTCCTCTTACTAGATTCTGCTCAATGGTCTAGAAGATCATCAGAATTTTCCTTTTGGAGCCTGTGATCCAGTGTATCAGTTATCCCTCCCAGTTTTGTATCATCTGCAAATTTGATAAGCATGCCAGCTATGATTTAAAGTGCACCTCCCTGGGTTACTCCCTAGACCTCTTATCACATTGACATTGAACCATTAATAACTACTCTTTGAGTCTGGTCATCCAACCAGTTCTGAATTCATCTCATTGTATTCTCGTCTAATCCATTTCTTGCCAACTTTTCTATCAGAATAGCAAGAGATACTTTATGGAAAGCTTTGCTAAGATTTAAGTATAACATATTTACAGCATTTCCCTCATCTACTAATTTAGTAATGCTGTGATGCTCAGAATTGAACACAGACTCCAGGTGAGGTCTCACAAGGGCAGAATACAGTGTCCAAAAAAAAAAAAGAAATCATATTAGTCTGACATAAATTCTGATGAAGGCACTTTGTATTTAATGCCTCCCTTTCTAAATATTTGCCTACTGTTGCTTTAATGATTTTTCCATGAATTTTCCTAGGAATTGAAGTCAAACCTTCTCTCTATTGTCAGTTCTCACTGCCCCTCCCACCCCAAGCAGTGGTTCTATCCCTTTACTGAGTCTCTTCTTTTCCCCAATTCTGCTTTAAAAAAAAACAAAACAAAACAAACAAACAAACAAAAAAAAACCAAAACAAAACCCACCACCATTTTTGTTGTACTTAGCTTTCCTTGCCTGTCTTAGTTCATTCTGAGCTAAGCATGCCTATGTTATTCATACAGGAACATGTCCTGCTTTGTTATCATTTTATTACCTGCTCCCAATTTCCACCTTTTATACATGTATGTCTTTCTAAAATCTAAGTTGGTCTGTAAGTTCCTTGTGCAAATGAACACAATGCTCCATTAAACTTCAGGGGCAGGGACTGTTTCTTTCCTGTCTTTGTATCCTCAGAGCTTATCACAGTGCCTGGAACATAGAAAGTTCTTAATAAATGTTTGTTGACTGACCGACTGACTTCAATCAAATGAATTTCTCTCCTCTTCACTGGCTGTCTGTTTTTGTATTTCTTCATGGCTCCTGCTGCTCCCTTAGCCAAACTTTCCCTGTTGGACTTATTTCCCCTCCTCTAGACAAACTTATCCATTTGTCAAGTTCCAACTCAAATTCTCCTTTCACTGTTGAGCCTTCCCCAAACACTCCATTTGGAAGTGATCTCTTTTCCTCTAAACTGCTGGAACAGGTATTGTCTATACCACTCGTTGGTACTTTTCTTTTACCAATTTGTGTATGAGTCATTTCCCTGCCCAACAAGTTTATGTCTTATGACATATTGAGGTCATCAATCCCTTCCATCACCCTAAGCACCTAGCACAGGGTCAAGCACACAGTAGTTGTTCAATAAATTTGATGGAATGAAATCTGTAATGTATAATTTCCTCTCTAAAATTTTTTCTGATACTTCCAGCTAGAGGTGATCCTTCTTTATCTGTACTCTTATGAAATTCTAATTTTTATTAAATTTATCAGTGTGTATTTCTAGTCATCCCTAGTAGATTTTAAGTTTGTTGAGGGTATTGACCGAGTCTTATTTATATTTGTATCCTCATCTCTTCTCACCTGTTTCCTACCTTTGGCAGGATAGGCAAACAACTGTTCATTAATTAATGAATGAAAGATATGGGCGCTACAATGGATCTAGACCTGGTTGGTATCTTAGAATTTGTATAGTCCAACCCACTCCCTTTTCACCTGAGAAAACTGAGGCCTAAGGCAGTAAAGTGACTTTCCCAGGATCACATAGATAATGTAGCAGAACTGAGATTCCAACCGGATTCTTAGACTACAAATACAGCACTCTTCTGAACACACCATGCACTTCTCTGACATAAATTTAAACCTTAATAATACCATAGTCAAAACATTATTAAGGACAAACAAAAACTACTAGAATTAAAGGAAAGCTAGCTAGCATTTGTATAGGACTTTAAGGTTTACAAAGCACTTTACAAACATTAACTCACTTTAAACTCACAACAACCTTGGGAGGTGCTATTATTATCCCCATTTTAAGATGAGGAAACCGAGGTAGAGTATATAAGTGACTTGCCCAGGGTCACACAGTAACTGTCTGAGGCCGAATTTGAACTCAAGTCTTCCTGATTACAAATCCAGGACTCTATGCACTGTGCTACTGAACTGTCTCTGCCTTAAAGACTCTGTTCTTATTATTGTCTGTGAAATAATGTAGATTTCTGTTATATCGACCTTTCTCCGTCAGCGGAGAGATCAGCTGCACCAGAGTTTCAGTTTTGTTGTTCAGTTGTTTTCTAGTCATGTCTGACTCTTCATTAAACCTATTTGGGGTTTTCTTGGCAAAGATACTAGAGTAGTTTGCCATTTCCTTCTCCAGCTCATTTTACAATTGAGGAAACTGAGGCAAACAGGGTTAAGTGACTTGCACAAGATCACACAGCTAGTGTCTGAGGCTAGATTTGAACTCAGGAAGATGAGTCTTCCTGACCCTATGCCCAGGGCTCTATCCATTGCACCACCTAGTCGCACCAGAGTTAGAGCTGTCATTAAATCTTAAGAAGCAGTTGCAAGGGGTAGCTAGGTGGTGCAGTAGATAGAGCTCCAGGCTTGGAGACAGGAGGACCTGATTTCAAATGTGGCCTTAGGCACTTGACACTTACTAGCTGTGTGACCCTGGGCAAGTCACTTAACCCCGATCACCTCACCAAAAAATCAAAAAAAAAAAAAAAGAAAAGAAAAGAAAAGAAGCAGCTGCAGTAAGTGAAGTGAGCAAATCTAGGAGAACATTGAACACAGTAACGGCAATATTATATGACAATCAACTGTGAAAGAAAACATTTATCTACCCTGATCAAGACATTGACTTAAGACAGTTCCAAAGGACTCATGATGAAAAGTACTATTGGGGCAGTTAGGTGGCACAGTGGATAGAGGACTAGCCCTGGAGTCTGGAGGACCTGAGTTCAAATCTGGTCCCAGACACATGACACTTACTAGCTGTGTGACCCTGGGCAAGTCACTTATCCCCATTGCCTCACCAAAAAAAAAAAAAAAGAAAGAAAAATGCTATCCACTTCCAGAGAAAGAACTAATGAACTCTGAGTGCAGATTGAAGCATACTTTCTTTACTCTATTTTTATTTTGTTTGTGTTTTCTTTTGAAACATGAAAATGTTTTGTATGACTTCATTTGTATAATTGATATCAAATTGTTTCCTTTCTGAGGATGGGGGTAAGGTGAGAGGGAAAGAGAGTTTGGAACTCGGAATTAAAAAAAAAGATTGTTAAAAAAATTTTTACATGCACTTGGGAAATATTTGATGAAATAAGTAAAGAGAACATTTTTAAAAAGCTAAAGATGGGGGCAGCTAGTTGGTGCAGTGAATAGAGTTCAGCCTTGGAGTCAGGAGGACCTGAGTTCAAATCCAACCTCAGACACATGATATTACTAGCTGTGTGACTCTGAGCAAGTCACTTAACCCTGACTGCCTTATCGAAAAAAAAAGTAAGAAAAAAAGCTAAAGATGTAGCTATTAGGATGAGCTCTGTAGACCTTAGCCAAGTCGGAAGGCTTAGCAGTAGCCATTGAGGCAGGTTAGAGAGCCCCTGCTAGATGGCTGCTTATAAGAATCCACTCCCCCTCAAGCCAATAGTATGAGTTGATAAGAGTTTCTCAGAAAATAGGAGAGAATAGGTTGGGAATCAGGATAGAAAGAATTTCCAATGCAGCTAGAGATGTCTTCTCTAAACTATGACTTATTGAAAAAATTAATAAGATAATAGGAATGAATTTATTTTTTATTATGACAGTCATCAAGAAAAACAAATAAATTGAAATACAAAAAGGTGTGTATATGAAATGCTAAGTTAAATAAATTGTGTGCATTACATTTGACAAGAGAGTAACAAAAGAAGGGGCAGGGGAAACAGGTGCAGCTCAGAATGAGTTATTCATGATTACGTCTTGCCCTTCATAAAGAACTGGAATACACACACACACACACACACACACACACACACACACACACACTCTTTGATGATAGAGTAAGTAGATTTTTTTTCTTTTATGACCCTAGAAGATTTGCACCTTCTAGTCTGCATGCCACCTTAACAAGAACAGGAATCTAATTAGCAGACCCAAAGCTCCCAGCACAGTTGCACTGACTCTGTACCTTTCTGCCCTCACTCTCTGCCTTCCCAGAAAAGCTGAGCCACACTTCTTCCTCCCCACAACACACCCACCCCAACCCGACCCCACTAGTTCTTAGTGACCTTTTCATTGCTTGTTTCAAGGGTTGCAGGGATGCGGCCTCACTGGTCATCTTCATGGGAAAAAAAAAGTTGATAAATATTAAGACACTAATATAGATTTGAATCCAGTCTTCCTTTCCAGGAATAGTGAGCAACAGCATTAATATAAGATATAAATTCACCCTGAGGTCACTCAACACTGAAAGCTTTTAATAGCCAGGACACCTAAATATAGTTTCAAAGAACAGCATACGCAAACACAGATGCCTAGAAACATACCACAATATTTGCCTTGATTAGTGTAATCAGCCTTAATACACTAATAAATCATTCACAGTTGGGTATAGTTGTGGCAGTGTATGTGTCTGCGAATACGTATATGCACACATAATTATGTAGTGCACCACATAAAAAGGAGAGGTGAACCTGGGACAAATAGGAATTACTGTGAAATTCTAACACCTTCATGAGTTGTATATTTACAAAGCATCAGTTTTTCAGAGTAATCCCAGGCCCTTTGTAAGGTATATGATATGCATAAAGTTATAGCTATCACCAAATCATCAATAAAGATTTATTTGTGCCTGTTGTGGCTGGGCAGGGGGTTGCATGTAGGTGACAAAGGTGAGTTGGTGCTTATTCTCACGGGGCACACAATATAGTTGAAAACACAGGATACACAGAGACTTTGATGGATCCTTGATTTCATCAGTTCGGGTACTACTTCCAAGACTTCTTTTTTGCTCTTTTAGGCCATTTATTATTTCATGCTTGTTGTATTACTGGCCCATTTTTTCCTAGTTGTTATCATATTCATCATGATCACTAGCATTTATATAACATTTTAAGGTTTGCAAAGCACTTTCACTCATTTGATCCTCACAATGATACTGGGAGATAGGAAGTAACATTATCCCCATTTTACAAATGTAGAAACTGAGGCACAGAGAGGTTAAGTGACTTCCCAGAGTGACACAGCTAGTAAGCATTCAAGGCAGCATTTGAATTTAGATCTTTTTGACTCTAGGCTTGCTTAATGTCATATAATAGCTCTGTGGCCCAGGGCAAGTCACTTAACTGCTTTCTGCCTCAGTTTTCTCATCTGGACAAACAGCAATCTTTGTGAGTAGAGAACTTCCAGTTGGGCAACACAACTTTCTTTCTTTCTTTCTTTCTTTCTTTCTTTCTTTCTTTCTTTCTT